ATCCAAGTAAAAAAAAAAATGCCTGTAAAGATAGAAAAAAAAATCCATGTTCCAATTTTCTCAGATTTCTCCTTGATGTCACTGAATAGTGTTAAGTGAAATAATACCTTCAGTTCTAAGGGGAAAACATTGGGACTCGAAAATTTTACACTGAGCCTAGTTATTAGTCAAGTATATAGAAAACAGTTGGGTTATAAGCTACACTGCTCTCATGAACCTTCCTGAGAAATACATTACAAAGTTGGAAGTAGTTGGAAAACTCTAGCAGATACACTGGAAAAGATCATTGAGTCGATTTAATTGTAGGGCTAAGGTTAAAAGAAGTACGTGACTTCTAGTTAGAGCCCAAATATTGAAATATCCCCAAATCCCAGCAACATAGAAATGATATATAGTGTAAGAAAATATAAAGTTTTATTTTCTCATGTTTTTTACATGAGGGAAGATGGTATCATTTAAAGATGATAAATAAAATAAGGATATAAGATACTCAAAGTGTCAAAAATTTAATAGGAAAAATAACATAGTGAGTGCAGTAGGGTGGTGGAAGGGAAGAAGGCAGAGGGAGGGGCAGCAGAAAGTAAATAGTTCTGTCAATGCTCATAGCAGGGAATAAAGAAAATCTAAAGACATAGTAAATACACACATTAAATGAAGTTTAATTATAAAGGTAATAATTAGAACAAAATAGAAACCTTTTATATTTCAGAAAAATGCACATTAACTGGTATGGTAGGAGATAAAAAAGAAGAAACTAAATAGCTTTATATGAAGTGATATAGGATTATGCTCAAGATATATTGTGAAATAAAAAGAAGTTGCAAAATAGCATGTAAAATTATACATGTTTATTAATATACTTAACATATATATGCTCGTTTATTGATAAAATAGCACTTGTTTCTTCTAAATGATATTCCACTAAATAATAGCTGTCTCAAGAGGTGCACTAGGTAGCCATAGTTATTGTTATTATATGTCCCTAACATTCCTAATAAATTAATATTTTACATTAATATCACATGTTTAACATGAAACTATCAAAGAAGGCTATAGGTATAGTATACATAGTACCTGCATGTGAGTATCTTATAATCAGGCTAGATTAGACTGGCAAAATTGAACAATGATATAGAATGCAAATTAATGCTCGGTTATGTTACACAAATCTTCTGTGAAACCTTCTTAGATTATTGCAGCCTTTGGTGGCTGGCCTCCCTTCCCTTTGACTTTTGACAGCAATATTTGACTGTAAACTATTTTAACATTATCCAATATCTTTATCTTCTTCTAATAATTCAATATGATAGTCTTGTCTTTATGGAAGAGATGAGAATGATTGCCAGGTCCATGGACTTTAAAGCCAGTTATTTAGCACAATAGTCACATGAAGCAAAACAATTGGGTAGAAATTCCATATACAAACAATAACACATAAGTAATTATTATAACACCTGCTGATATAATATGTATTGTGTGCCCATAGATACTGAATAAGAAACTAAAGTTCAGAGAGATGAACTTCTTTGCCCCAAATCAAAAGGTAGTAAGAGACAAAGGTAGGATGAGGACCCGGACAGGCTGGCTCCAGAGCTGGTGACATAGCAGCACAGAATGTGTGTGCCCCTGCTCAATTATTTAACCTCACTGACTTCTCTTTCTGTATTGGTGGAAGATGGAGAATAATGACTTCCTTTATAAAGTTACTATGACAGTTATTAAGAAAAATACATCTAAGAGCTTTGTAAGCCATGAAGCTCAATAGCAAATGTAAAATATCACAGTCGTCATTGCTGTCTTTCTGCTGCCATTGTTGCCACAACATCTTGTAGGCTCAACTCATAGAGGGACTGTAGATTCCTGCAGAGATCAGTCATTATTGACTTCTCAATCTCAACGCTCATACTTTCGCTCAGATTGTACAATGCCCATGCCCTAAATAGCTTATAATCACTGAGAAAGACTACCTGACAAGGCGTAGTGGGATAAGGGCCATGATGAAGTTTTGAGTTTTGTGCAAAGACCTAGTAGAGAGGAGAGGGGAGGGGAAAGATTGTGGTACTCAAAGAGTTAAACTTCCAGCTTAGGAAAAAACAACCTGCAATTTTAAATTCTAATAATTTTCCTGGGGGAAAAGCATCAGCACGTTTTGTATTGTATTTATGCTACACAGCAAACTTTTTGCATCATTTGTAGACCTCCCTTTCCTGCATTTTTCCCACAAAGACTGTCCTTGACCAACAACAGAAATGAATTTGATTTCTCTAATGCAGAAAGTAATTGGATTTTTCTTTATTGAATGCATCCCTTTAATGACTGTCTCTGCTCCTTTCAATTTAGCAAGTGACCTGACATTGAGCTGATGATATGACTTAAAAATAAACAGTTAAAAGCTGAGGGTGAAAAAGACCAGCTGTCTAGCATCAGAAAAAAAAATGTGTGTGTGTGTGTATGTGTTTGTTTGTTTGTTTGTTTGTTTGTTTTTGGTCCTCATCTTGCCATTTTCCTGGGAAACCCTTTATCCTTGAATGTCATTTTTACAAAACATGCTGCTGCAATAATTAGTCACATAGTGACAGATTGTCTCCTCCTAGAAAATATCATAATTATTTCCCAGAAAGTGCCCTGGAGAAAACATTGCAAATTGAATAGAATTTACCCAATAGTCATTCTTTTCTTTGAAAATATGTATTACTATGCAAACTCTTTCTGGAACAGGTAAATATTGCTGAACAGAATTAATCAAATCTTTTAAAAAGCTGGCAAAGCATAAAATATTTATTTAAATATTTATTTACTTAACCTTGAGGTATTGTAAAAATAAAATTATACACAAGATTGTTATTTAAGAAAGTAACAAAGGAACAGTAAATAAAATTGTTGTATTTGGAAAAGTAGTAATTCTTTCATTAAAAGAATTGTGATATAAAACTCTTTTTATGCCCTAGAATATGCCGGTGTAAATTTTTCTAATTTTGTCTTTATTCATATTTAGTAACAATATGAGACTCTTGATTCATGTTAATTTTTATTCTGTGATATTCCCCTTTGTTTATTTTGATAATATGATTTTTTGATTGAAGACACAATTCATGGGTGAGGAAAAAATCTTGTAATTTTAACATGTCATGAAGAAAATAAACAAGAAAGCCACCAATAAACAAGTTTCCTTTTAAAAATAGGTAAAAAAGTGTTTTTCTCTTTAAAAATTAGTATTAGTTGCATTTATACTTAGTAATTAACAGTTTAAAGTAATTCAGAGTTTACATTAAAACAACTTGTTGTTGAATCTTTTCAACAGTGAAGCCACATCACACAAAATTACTGTGGATCCTCATTTAAACAGAGTTTGCATAAATCTGCAGTGTTACTCAATGAAGGTCAATGAACTTGCTTTGATCCCTGTCAACCAAGAGAGGCTGAGGAATTATAGTCCTAGAAATGATATTGAGAAAGAATATAAAGAAAAATTAAGATCAAATATGTCCTGGAGACAGGGCTCTTTACCCATTGCTCTGATTGCATCTTAAGTGAGCATGTGAAGCTTTAACATGCCAATGAAAGTTTCTGGAAACCATATTTTGGTGCTGTGTTTCACAGTAAGAAGGGTTTGCTTGACAATTGATGCCCCTTCTGCAGGAAGGCCAGTAGTATTGAAGAGGTCACTGATCCAGAGGGACTCCCCACTGAATTACAGTTTTTCATCACAGATGATTAAATCTCACCCATTCCAGGTCAGGCCACTGCTGGAAGTTAACTTAAATAAAGTGTTAAGGCTTTAAAGGCAAATGAAAAATCTATTTTAACAGATAATGAAACTTGTTTGTTACTCTATTCAGTTTATTGCATTCCATATCAGTTTTCTTAATTTTGATGCTGTCTTTTTGGTTTTGAACATTATTAAATAAAACCATAATCAATTAAATAATGTTCTCTTCTCTTGAAGAGAAGGTAGATTTTCTGGGAAAGAAAAAAAAGTGTATGTGTGTGTGTACACATATGCAAACATGTTTTCCTTTATTAGGAGAAAGAAAGAAAGTTATTTTTCATTCCCATCAGTTTTTTGAAGACACTTATATTTCATCTATTATATTTTGGACACTTGCAAAACTATTAATATGAGATGTTGACAATGAACAATTTATTTTGTTAATGAACTTTTAAAAACAAGTATTTATATCCTAAGTCATTTTATCATTTATTCTTTGAGCAATATTTTAGTATTTTATATAAATGGATCTTAGATATTGGAGGGGATACAGAGAGAAAACTTCAACTTCAAGGATAAAACCTAGCAGAGAGAAAAAATGTACATACGTAATTAAAAGAGGAGGTAGAAAACAAAGTGTAACATGAAAAATGGTCAAAACCATAGTTGGAGGGAACAATGAAGACATCACAATGATAACATGGCTTTACTTAGGTCTCAGAAGTTGGGCAGAATCTGTGCACATGAGAAAATTAGAACATTTTTGGATGAAGGAATAGAATTGCTAATTGTTTAGAGGTGGAAGCATGAGAGGTAATTAAAATAAATGTGCCATAAAAAAAAATTTAAGTTCAAGTACCATACCTCACAAATCATTGAAGAAAAAAGGGAGGGAAAGGATTTCAGTATTTTGACTGGAAATATCAGATTTTGGAGTTCCTGATTAGCTAAGATAGAAAGAATATGGCACTTAATTTATTACATGTTTCTATAGAGGTTATTAGTATCTTAATGATGCCTTCTTTTATAAGGTAATCTTGATTGATGTTTAAAAAATAATCAATGTTTGACATGTTGAATGACTTTAAATATACTAAATTATTATGTAAAGAATATGAACTATTAAAGTTTTTAACTGGAGGAAGTATCTTTTTCTAATTTTTGTCTTTGCATATGTTCTAATGTTAAAATACATACATATTTTATTTTCAGTAAAATGTAAATTATCTACATATTTAGATCTGAATATGAATTTCTGAAAGTGCTAAATAAGTTTCTTTGATGGCTTCAGGTCACTGATATGATGCTTCAGGACAAACCCTATCCTGATTGGGGAAAATCCGCGAGAGCTTTCTGGAAGAAAGGAAATGTTAGGATCATTTTATTCTGGTAAGAGATTGTTTAATTTATTGATTTACGTTTTGCCTCACTCACTAAAGGACTCAAATTAGATGTAGTTTTCTTTAGATACACATAGAATTCTATCTGGATAGACATCATAAAGGTATATTATGTTCCATTACAATGATTACAACTGATCATCATAATTATTTTATGAATTAATCTCTGCTTACATAGTGTCATATATACACATTTACAAGAGATGTTTTGATAATATAGTGATGCATAGATTTTTACCAGAAGTAGGTTTTTAACTCAGCAAAAAGTATAATTTTTGTAAACGAAATATGATATTAAAATGTCTTCACTAAATGCTAAATTTCCAGTATATTTGACATAATTTTTTTAAAGAAATTATACAGAGAAGGAACCTCCTCACAAATCATATCCAGTTTATTGGCATTTCTTCTTTACATAGTTTCCCTTAGATCTGCAGCCCAATCATTGCAATTAATAACAACTTGGGTCTTATAGAACTTCATTTTATTGTGGCAGCACCATTATTTATGAGTATCTGAACAAGGTTAGACAGAAAAAGATAAGAATGTAGAGAGAGCACGAAGGGAGCTTTCACCTGGCTGATGGGCAAGAAGGGCGCTTTCACCTGCTGCCTGACGCCGCCCCAGCGCAGTGATTCAACTGATGAGTGAAAAGTGAGGGGTTGTGATTGAGGATGCTTTGTGCCTGGTACATTCCAGCGGGCTCACCTGCCTTTTCAAATGGAGGAAATGTCTGTTTATTCATGGACTTAATTTTGAGGGTTAACTTTTTTATGCACAAGCTAGAAAAATCATCATAACTAATGACTTGGAAAATACACACTCTAAGCTATCTTTGTGCTTTCGCACTATCATTAAATGTTGCATTTTAAATCCACTTTTTAGATTTCATTTTAAATCCACTTTTCAGCAGGTAAACAAAAGTAGATTTTTCAACAATATAAAAGTGAATGTAATTTTGTAGATGTTTATTCACACCTTGTATCTATGAGTTAAGTGTGGGCTATTTTTCTGGTGCAATTAACCTTGATATTTTTTTTTCTGTTCCAAAGTTCCCCATGTAGCTTGTCTAAATAATATACATTATAATAATTGTGGTTAATGTTTATTGAAGGTATGGTTTGCTACGGGCATTGTGCTCAGTACTTAATATTCTATATATTTTCTCAATAACCCTGACAACCCTGTAAGGTTCGTGCCATTATTACAAGCATAGGTCTCAGTTTTTAATCATTACATCACACTCCTTCTAGAAGAACAAAAGGTATATCAACGTGCAAATTTCCAAATGATTATCTTTAATCCATTTTTAGATAATGGGACTTGATAAGAATGTGAGATTCTGGAAAATTGTTCCACCCTACAGAATTCTCTACGGGGGTTTTAAGAATCACAATTTAAAATTCTACAAAAATGTTTATGACCTATCTCTTTTAAAACAATATACACTTAACTATGCTTACAGATATTTTTTGTTTTTTCTCTTTTTTTTCTATTTTATGGTGTTTATATTTTTTATTGTTGGTCAAGTACAGTTGTCTCCATTTCCCCCACCACTCTCCCCTGCCCCACCCACTCCTACCTCCCACCCTCAATTCTACCCTCCTTTTCCTTTGTCCATGGGGAAGGGTCAAGGAACATGTGTTAATTATTTTACCTTCAAAGGCAGCCCATTGATTATTGTTCAATGTGGCCTGTTACCAAGGTCGCATGTATATTATTTGCAAAGGTGAGGCGTGCATAGCTGTCGAAAGGCCTCTGTGGTTGCTGTCTTTAGCTGCTCTTAATTGCAATGCTGTTTCAAAGGAAAGGAATTCATACTGTTTTTTCTGAGTATCTTTGTCCATTTTTCCTTGAATATAAGTGCTCAGGTCTACAAATTACCTATCTCTTTTATACAAATGGGTTTATTTTTGACATATGTGATAGCCCTAATGGACAACCTAAAGCATATTTTAAATGTTGTTAAAAATAACTTAGTCACTGACAATATTCTTGAATGGAGAACAAGCTAAAACTCACACTTATTCCTATAGTCATTGTTTCTGTATAATTATTGACAGGAGATAACTCTGGGAGATGATTTTTCCAAAGTAATATTTCAAATCATGGAGAGTATAAATAACTGAAGGGGAACTTAAATGTCTCTTTAAAAATACTTTTTTTTCTATTTTATCTATTTCTACACAGATTATCTTGACAAACAGTATTCTTTTTAAAAAGGAAAACCTGATACAAAAAGTTGAATATGGAAATTATGTGGGAAGCAAGAAATTTTCCTGTATGTTCATACTTTTCAGATAAAAGGGATTTAGCAAGTAGAAAGGTTATTTTTCTTTTCCTTTTTTTTTTTTTTTTTTTTTTTTTTTTTTTTAGCTTTAGGAAATAAAATACCGAAGTCATTGCCAAGGTTTAAATGAAGTAAAAAATAGTATTTACATACTATGTGCTATGAGTCGACCACTCAAAATAGGTGTTTTCTTTCTTTTTTTTTTCCTAATTAAGAGAATAGATTAGTGTAAAAAATCTATGTGGAGAAAGGTATTTTATAAAGAAGGTAAACTTTTATTAGTTGGGATGTGACTACGTGCAGCAGTTTAAGCAGTACGACATGGAATTTTGTTCTAGCAAACTTACCTTCTGCTTGTAGTTGTTTTAACTCACAGATGCCTGTCAGAAGCTATTTTGTTCACAACTGTGTGCCTGAGTTCTTCCTTGATTCTTAGTAGTAGATGTTGCTACACTGAAGAAAATGGTTCCTGTTTCTTTCTGTAATTGTGCAAAGATGAGGCTACAGTACATGGCTCCTATGTCTGGGGGGAGACTAATTGTGGCTATATTTGAAAATACCAAAAGGGAAAGGGAAGAATATTCACAGACCTTCCCTTCCAAAGTCCCTTTCTCAGGCTTTGCGTAGATAAAGAGACTAAAGATCTAAGAATCTAAATCCTATGTGTATGCCATGCACTATTCTGTCTTTCAGTGGGGCTACTAAAAACGTTTTTCCCTCACTTGCATCTGTAGTAAAAGAACATATACATTTTTTAAAAAAGCAATATAATACTTATATTAGCTCCTACTTCCTGTTTTATTAACTCTCTAGAGATATAATTTATATGCTTTTGATGGGAAGCATCTTGGGATGACATTTTTTTCCAAAGGGTTAGCTTTTAAAAATAAGGGGAGACACTCTTCTGTGATCAGGGGAAGAGTTGGCTGAAGGGACTGGGAGACGTGATCGTTAGGCTTCACGTATACACCAGTTCTCTGCCTTCCAACAGAATTACATTTTCTGTCCCCTTTGATTGCATGACTTGCTTTAGCAGTTTAAATGTGAGTGAGAGTGGCATGTGTCACATCTAGTTAGAAGCCTTTAATCGTCAGTGGGAAACATTAATGGGAGCTCTCTTTCTTGGTAGCAGTTGTGGAAGCTTGTGCCTTGTTGGAGCCCTTGTCATGCATTTGCCCTGAATGATTAGGATAAACCAACCATCCTTAACAACACAGTAGACGTTTAGCATGAGCAAGAAATGATCCTTTGCAAATGTTAAGCCACTGAGATTTGGGTATTGTTTGATACTGCAACATCAACTAGCCCATTTTGAAGTGTACAGAAACTGATTCCTAGACGTGGAGGGCTGCCATGACTGGAAAAAAAAATTTTTAAGGGCTGGACAGCACATAGCAAGGAATCTGATGATGGAGGCTGGGAAGGTGATAATCCAGGTGTTTTAGTGGTGAGGTATCTGGTGAAAAATGTGGTCTGTGATTATGTAGATGCTCTAGGAGAAGTTGGAAAACGGAATGCCAACAGTGTGTTGTGTGCATCTGTGTACAGTTGTCTGCTTCTACTCTGATACATATAGAAGACTATCTTTTATTTTTTGGATGATTAGTGTATTTTTTTTATGAAATGTACTTTGTCTAGTGCTATGATTATTTGAGTGGGCATCTCTTGGTCATGATTGTCTTAAATGTTATCTGGGAAACAAATGTAGCTGCTGGTGTTTTATTCTGCTTTGAATACTGTGGCTATTATTAAAGTCTAACAAAGTGAACTTACTTGTTTCACTTTGATCAGCCAAGAGCGAATCATAAATCACTATCATATTAATATACATGGCATGGGAGAATAACGTGATGACTATTAATAAATAATATTTATTTATTAATAAATTAATAATAATATGCAAGAATGTAATTTAAAAAGACCCAAGAATCAGAGGCAATGTTAGTCAAAAGTGTTTTAGTAATAGCACTACCAATATCAAATTGTATGACATGTGTAACAATTTTAGGTTTCTATTTCCTTTTATGCAAAAGAGATGTTTTGTTATTATGTGACCCTTTTCAGCTCTATAATGCTACTTCTATTATAAGATTAAAATGCTAATGAAAGAGTAATTCTGTCTGCTTTACTCCAAAGACAGAAAGTGGATTTTTATAATCTGAATATTTTTTCCCCTCCAATATTTCTATGTTGAAGTGTATGATGGTATTAGGAGTTGGGGCCTTTGGATGGTGCTTAGAACGTGAGGGTGGAGCCCTCATGAACAGGATTAGTGCCCTCTAAGAGAGGCTTCAGAGAGATCCCTAGCCCTTTCCACAATGTGAGGACATACTGACACGCACTGGCTATGAACCAGGAAAAGCGTGCTTATCAAGTACAGTCATGCTGGTGCCTTGATCTTGGACTTCTCAGCTTCCAGAATTGTGGCAAATAAATTTCTGTTTTTTTATAAGCTATCCAGTCTCTAGTATTTTATTAGAGCAGCACAACAAACTAAGACATGGGCCGATGAGTATACATCACACAGAAGCAGATTTACATTCATGTAGGAAAGGATCCCCTAACAATGGGGACTCTCAATGTTGCATGAGTCTGCCAGAGAGAAAACTCATTCCACACCAGTAGAAGTATTCCTGCAAGGCTATGTAGTCTCTTAGGGATGCTACAGGAGGATTTTCACATTAAATGAGAAAGAAAAT